GTTGGACTCCTCGACACTATTTTACTGTTTTGCATTGCATCCATTTTGACTGACCTGTCTAGGCACAGCATAACTTTCCTAGTATTCAGGTTATTTGAGGCAGGGGTCCCCAACCCCTGGGCCACGGACTGGTACCGGTCTGTGGCCTGTTAGGAACTAGACCACACAGGAGGTGAGAGGAGGGCAAGCAAAGCTTCATCTGTATTTGCAGTCGTTCCCCAGCACTAGCATCACCACCTCAGCTCCATCTCAGATCATCAGGCATTAGATTCTCATAGAAGCACTGGTCCCTGGTGCCAAAAAGGTTGGGACCACTGCTCTAAGCACCTTAATCTGGCCCCGCTGGTACCCCTTTCTCCCGTAGCGTGGTTCTTGGGGCAGATGCTCGGCCAGACCTGGATCTCCGAGACCCCGTCTCTGATGACTTCTTCCAGTTGTGGCAAGACACAGCTGAGAACAATGCCAATATCTATGAGCAGGTGGGTGCTGAGGGTGGGTGCTGAAGGTGGGTAGGCCAGGAGGCAATTCATAGATTATCCTGTTCAGTGTGAGATGGAGAGAAGCTCCACCACACAGTCATTCTCACAAGGGCATGAAGGTCTGGAGGCATATCATGGGATTCAGTGGCTCAGGGTCATTGTGGGGGGAGATGGTGTGGGAATGGGTGTGGGGATGGGGGCATCCAGCTCATTTGGGCTTGAGCTTTTGGCAAAGGGTCCCCAAGCCTGATTGGCTACCATGCTCCCGGCTCACAGATCTTCCGCTGCCTGCCAACCAACGCCACACGTTCCTTGCGGGCACTCCGGGAATACGTGGCCGTGGAGCCCCTAGCCATGGTCAGCCCTCCCTTGGCCCGGTCTGAGCTCACCCAGGTCCAGGGCCACCTGGTCCACTTTCCCCTCAAGTTCCTGGAGGATGAGTCTTTGCTACCCCCACTGAGTAGCAAGGAGGGTATGATGCCCCTAGAAGTGTGGACATAGCTGTGGCTCCAGCCAAAAGAGGTCACCAGCCACTGGGTTCCACTGAGTCTGGCTCTCTGCCCCTGAGGACTAAGGGCAGTGCCCTTTGAGACCTCAGGGAGGCAGCATCTCTGAAAGGGATGAGAGAAGTCACAGAAGACCCTTTCTCGAGAAGCAGCCAAAGAGGACACTCCCACTCCTGAGCTGGGTAGGCAGGAAAGGGTTCCAGAGTTCATTCTCCCATCTGCTCAGTTCAAACCACTGCTACAGAGGAAAAGCAAAACTCCTGCCAGGACTCCTGGGGCAAGCCTTCCCATTTCTCCCTCTTCCTGCCCCAGGGCCTCTCCCAGCTCATTGCTGCCAAGGTGGAAGGAAGGATGAAGCCACTCCTGGCTTTAGCTCCCACAGCGGGTAGGGGTGGGGGTGCACACTAACTCCCTCCACCAGCCTACTAACAGACACTAACTTTGTATCAGTTTGATAAGCATTTCATAAATAAAAGCGTTGAAAAAGTCCATGCTTCTTCCTCAGCCTATTACCTAGGTGACTTCTCAGTTGCATCACTTCTGGGCCTCAGTGGTCCCAACTAGGAAATAGGAATAATACTTAAATAACTGGCTTGCTATAAAGATTCAGTCCTTGACTTAAATATTTACTGAGTACTTGCTATTTGCCAGATACTACTGTAGACTCAGAAGTACGTACAACAAAGTCTCTATCCTCATAGGAACCTTAGGCACTGGAGCTTCACTGTCCAATACAGTAGCCACTAGCCAGATTTGGTTATTTACATTTAAATTAATTAAAAACAAAAATTTAGGTCCTCACTTGCACTAGCCACATTTCAAGTGCTCTTTGCTATGGCTAGCATATTGGACAGTGCAGGTATGGACCATTTCCATCATCGCACAAAGTCCTATTGGATGGCACTGCTCCAGAAGGAGGGAAGAGAGAAGATAAATGGTATGGTCTATGAGTATAGTACACACCAGATTGAGAAGGGTTCCTCCTAGGGTGGGTGGAGAAAAAGGAATAACAGAAGGGTATACAGAGAGCTCTTCAAGAGAGTCGGTGACTATTTCTTAAACTGAGTTATGGATATGTGAACTTTTATTATATATAGATACATATCTATATATCTATATATATGAAATATTTTCCAATTAGAAAATAGTTTAGCACAGGTCCTGGCTCTTGCCCTTCATTCCCCCAGCCTCACTCCATAGTCTCAGCAATGACCACAGGGGCAGGGGAATAGAATGAAGAGTTTAGGAAGGCTTCCCAGAAAAGGGGTGTGCTGGTAGTGGATAATGTGGAGAGAAGAAATGCTCTTGCCTTGCTCCCATCCTTTTGAGTCTGGACCTCCATTTCTCCGCCACTTCCACACATGAAATACCCCTTCCCATATTTAGCAGTCCCCTGGTACTAATTGGCATTCTGCTAATTAGCCTCATTGTCAGC